TTGAAAAAGTGTGCTCGTTTCTAAATGTTAAACCTTCCATTGTTTGGACTTAGAATATTTTTCAGCCAAACTGTGTACTGGAGATGGGCAAGGGTGGAAGTCCTCGGGGCTGGAAGTCTGAGAGCTGATAGGAAGGGTAGAGTGGATGGCTGAGGGCTTGGGACTATCAGTATTAGAGCTCTGAGGATCCCATATTGCTATTGAGTTTATTGTGGCCCTTATAAGATTGAGACTAAAAGGCTCCAGAGGGAACTTTACAATGTAAATAAGGAGCTTGGAAGACTGGCATCTAAAGATGGAAACGGATGTACCTTAAACTCTGGCAATGGTCCAGATTAGGAGAAGGGTTAAGTGGCAAAAGACTACAGTTTCACAAATAGATATACACGTACAAACAAGTTGTTCTGTTAGTTTGAATAAATCACCATTTATTTCACTTGCAAATAGAAATTAACTGGTTATAGCAATTAATGGGGATTGTTTTACATACAAAGCATTTTTGCAAGGTAATATTTTCATATGAAACAAATTTCATGTCGGGCCTAAAAGGTCCTTAGAATGCACTAAAAGGTGTTTAGTGAAAAATATAGTTTTAGACATTAATTTGGGAAACAGAATTGGTTAAAATTTAAACATTTTGGCTGAAAAAAAAATTTTATGACTAAAAAAAAGAGAAAGCTGTTTAAATCAAATATTTCTTTCATGCACAGAGTAAGGCCCTCAGAGTGTTTACAAAAATTACATTTATGCAGTAATGACCTTTCAGCACTGAGCCAACGATTTGCAGTTGCAAACGACTTGCAGTTTTGTGATAATTTTAAATAAAAGAATTTTTTCTAATGCGCTGGCAATGTGGATGTACAACTTTGAAAATACAAAATGCACATAGAATTAAAAAAGGAAAAAACTTAGAAAGATGAACAAAGAAACTGACAGGAGCGGGATTTGAACCTGCGACCTCTGGAACACTGTACCAGTGCTCTACCAACTGAGCTATCCAGCCCTATGTCGGTGGTTCTTCCCATTTGCCAGTATCTCTGTTCGGGGGATGAACTTGTTAAAAAGTGAGGTTCAGAGCAGCCACTGGGTTGACTGAACAGTGGTATTTTGGCTGCCTGAATGGGAATACCATTCAATTTTTAAAACGAAGCAATAGTTACAAGCTTTTAGTCCTCAAACGAAGTAGTAACAAAGTGTCTAGAGTCTTTCCAAATTGTAATTATTTGCAAATTTTGAAGTACATATAGCATCTTGATAACTTAAATGTAAATATGAATGTTTTTAAATGTGCATTAATATGAGTCAATGCGTTACGATGAAAAAAATAAAGGCAAACAAAAGTCTTTCTTCAAAAGCAAACTGACCAATTGTCTATTCAATTTACAGAGTACCTCTTAAGTCATGAATAAGTTGGATGTAAGTACAGTACAACGCCACTATACTGAACAATTCGGTATATGGAACATGAATCTTGGCTCCCAAATTTTCTGCGCACTGTTACTGAACATCACAAATTTGCTTTAAATTAAAGAAAAAAAAGTTAGGACTGATGACAGCGACTCAAAAGTTAAGATGTCAATAAACTCCGAAATTGGAACGGCTATGTTGGGAGCCCATGGCAAAACAAGCAGACGCACAAAAGGAATGTTTTACACAAAACAAGAACACAACAACTGGTTTTTCACCAGAGGAAATAGGCACCCTCTCTGTTTTGGCAAATAGCACCCTCTTTTGTCGGGAATTTTCCCCCCTTTTCTTATGGAAATCGGAATAATGTGATTTTTAGGCTTACAGATGAAAATGCAACGATTGGAACAGTACCATTGAAATTGGTAATGAAATTGTTGGGGAGGTATGCCACACCAAGCATTGCGTATGGACCCTACCCTGTTCATTATAGCAGCATTGTACTGTGTACCAATATACACTACTCACAAAAATTAAAGGATCAGACATTTGTATTTGAAAATTTCAGCCAGGTGTGTGCCTCATCGACTTCACTTATTGTACACTGAAGCTCACGATCATGCTTGGTTGAGCACTATGGAATGTGAGACAATGCAATTAATTAGTCGTGTTTCAGAGCCCAACTAAATAGCTGGAAGGGTCAAAAAGCACTGGGCGATGTGCATTGCTCAGGTATTTGCACAATTTCAAAATGGCCACCTTTCTCTCTCTTTGCACATAAATTAAGGATGGGATGACTCAGCGGCAAGGGGGTGAGAGACTGGGAGTGTCTCAGAGAGTCTGGGGGGGGCTACAATGACATGAATGAGACTGGCCAGTACTATACGACCCTACTGTGGTAAAATGACGTACACATATGTGTCTCACTTCAGGACATTTTGAGAAAAAGTGACTTGAAATATCCGACCTCTTACCATTTTGTGTTTAGGTTTCGGAAAACTCTGCAGCTGTTTTTTTTTAGTGTCCTGACAACAACAAATTTGTTTTTTTTGTATCAATCATCATTTTTACATATAATTATAAAATATGTGATTTGGGAGAAGATTTAAAACCAGATACAAGTCAGACATTGCATTATTTTACTGAATAAAAGGGTCTCAACAGTTACATGTAATTTTTTTCATGCTGAGATACATCTTCAAAGTGCTTCATTTCCGTGATTCTGAATCACAAACAGCGCCCTCACATTACCGTGATTTCATTCTAACTCGTAAACAGCGCCCTCACATTACCAGGATATCATTCTAACTCATAAACAGCACCCTCACATTGCCGGGATAACATTCTAACTCATAAAACAGCGCCCTCACATTACCAGGATATCATTCTAACTCATAAACAGCGCCCTCATTTTGCCGGGATATCATTCTAACTCATAAACAGCGCCCTCACATTACTCGGTCAAAACTCAATTTTTTATACACCATTTTCAGGGCTGTAAAGGACCTCAACAAGGTTCTGACCGAAGTTTTTTTTTTTTCAGCATCATGAGACTTCAGTACTCTGTAGCTGAAGTTTCTTGTTTTGATGCCAGAAAATAGCCAAATTAAATGACGCTCATTTTTTTGCGATTAACTTATTAATCGCTACGCATGATCCTTTGATCCTTTGCATAATGTACAGATGCAGATAGGCTTGCTCCATCACTAAGGTGGAAGCAAGGAAATGCATCTCTGAGAAGACTGAGTCCTTAAGGCTTGCCTTTTTGTGCATCAGTGCCTTAGATTCTGATGAGGATCCCTCCTTCAATCTTGGAAACTGTTCCTCCTCAGTGATGGAGGCGAGGGCTGGCATCTGTCTGAGTTACCTCCTCTCCTTGACATTCTCATGAATCATCTCTGTGAAGTCTCATAGGTTCTTGTCCTCCATCTCCCTTCTCTCCAGGTTGAAGGAGGCGAGGGCTCTCTTCTCATCAGCATCATGGTCTGCTTCTCCTGGGGCATACCCACAGCTTTCATATGAGGAGGTCTGGGGAAGCAATTAATCACAAAAGGAACTAAGTTGAAGGAGAAATTGTGACATTACTTCAAAAAGTAAAGGATCGCTCCTTATTCTTACACCTTTTATTTCACAAAAAAACTGTTAGTGTCTATTGCTTTTCATCCATTTTCATGTCAGAAAATGAACTATGACAAGAGGATTCCTTTGACACTGCTGACCCGTTACTTCTACAAACATTTGTGATTTGTTTTCTTTGTTAATAATATTTTTCCAGACACCCCTTCAGGCTTTAGTGAGTCAAAAAGTGACATTTTTAAACACTTAAAATTGTCTTTCCCTTTTCCTAACAAGTGAGGGCGCTATTTTACAGTAACACTGTAACGTCAATCAGGGAAGACCACAAACCTAAAATATCTATGGACCAACAGCTCCTACAGAAATCAACGATTGAGCCCAAAAGTGTGGGCAGAAATATTGCAACAGTGTACACATGTCTGTTGAGTTGGATACAAATCGGAAATTTTGGATGGTGACTGAAAATACTGACAAGTGTTTACAACATGGTCCCTTTTTGTGTGTTGGTTCAATATTTGTCAAAATTAAGCTAGATTTTAGTTTGGAAATCTTTTTGGAAACAAAGTTCTCAGTGCTCTATCATATTAAAACTTGAGAAAATATGTTAAATTTTCTTTTCAAAATATTCACTAAACAGGGATGTCAGGAATTTCACATAATGTGCACTTTGGCTTCTAATAACAGCTTGTAATAATGGGCAATTTATGAGGAAGAAAAACTGAACTGTGCCGGGTAAAAACTTTAATAAAAGGACGAACGGGGCCAAACAATGTTTGATGGCCAATTGCCACAGTTGCCCCAATCCATCTTCTTTGATGTAGAGCAGTGCTGCACAGCAAATTATGAAACCCTAGGGGACAAGGCAACCATTTGCTCAATCTAACCCCCTTTAACATATTTTCCAATATTATCAAGGTGCATATTTTCTAGAAGCCTTCTGAAGTTTTTTTAATAACTCATTTTGGTCATTCGAACACCATTTTTGTGAAAATCCAACATACTGTTCTGGCACAGCACCATTTTTCTGAGAGAGGTCAACCAAGAATGTATGCTTTTCCCACTGCCATTGCCAACTTCCAAGTGACTGTCAAACCATATGACAGATTAACATAAAACTTGAGAAGGAAAGTCATTTGTAAAAATCCAGCATTGGACAGCCCATTTCTTGATGAGGTGGTCCGATGTAACCAAGCTCTTTTAGGGTTAATTAAGACATCAGGAAGTACCTGGGCCAAATCTACCTGCAAATAATGATTTCTTCACAGATGACAAATATGACTGACAAGTGACAGCTTTTCTACTTGCTGTTTTCTCCATCCACTGTTCTTGCTCCTCATCACTGTCAGAGTGGCTGTCACTTGGGTCCTCACCGTGACTGGAACTTGAGTCTCTCTTGAGCCCGCTCCTTGAGAAGAACAAAAAGGAGGTAAAATACGGATGTCATCACCGACTCTAGGTGTTAACTTCAGCAGTGAAAACAAAGTGGTGACTTCATCACCCAAAATTGAAAAATTAACAAAAAATGTAAGCAGTATCTTTCCTTGGAAAGCTGCACTGAATGTCGAATTTGTCGGACAAAGGAAGTCACGGTACAAAGGTTTTGTATGGAACTGTTCCTTTTGTTTCTAATATCCAGGGCCTTTTTACACACAGTCTTTGGACGAAGTACATGTACTTCACCCTCACTGTCTGTGCTACGGCTAACATCAGAGTCATCTTCATCATTTTCTGTGAGGCCAAACTTGTCAGAGCTGACAAAGTGTAGCCAAAGTAAAGCAGCAAGACGTAAGGACAGCATAGAAATACGGTGGTTCCTGGAAACCTTTCCAAATCCTCAAAAATCCTCCCCAGAATGACACATTCTCCAAAATTCTATGGACACATCGAGTCCCATTGGAATTCAAAGAGGCTGGGCTGGGCTCTACCTCCCTCAATCTTCCACAGATCTCGTGGAGGATTTTGAAGGATCTGGGAAGGTTGGCATTAAGACATAGTACAGGGGAAAATGAGTAAACTTACAGGGATAAAGTTCCTTTCTCAATCCAGCTTGTCATTGAATAACCCGGTGCTGGGAAGGAACTTACTCAGGTTCTGTGCTCTCCACTGATGCTGCCCACTCATTGGCCACTCCTTGCTCCATCATCTTCTCTTCGTGAACTTCCTCCTACAATAAAAACAAAGCAATGCATCCCTTCAGCTTTTACTGTTGTCAAAGCAACATCCTTGATTTATTGTTGAAGCCCTCCAACTGCGCACCCATAACTTTGGCACAGTTTGATTTTTTTGCCTCCAGTGCCTTACTGAAGCAACATTTTTACCTCAAATTTTAAAGTAAGTGAAATTTTATCAAACTTACACTAATCTAATTCAAAACTCCTGATTTTACTCACCCACTACAACTTTCCAATGACATTTTTTTTTGGCTCAATTTTCCAATTTTGATTTCCTTCAGTGCAAAATGGACACTTCTAAACCTGCCCAAAAGTAAAATTAATTTTCTAACAAACCTTTGTTTCAGTTTATGTAAATTAGGGTAATAATAGAAATTATCAAGTTTACAGAACTTCTCAAATGTGGGGTTTTGGCAATTTTTTCAAGTGCGTCACGGGAGGGAACACTAACAGTCAAGATGCTATGGCACGATTACTTGATATCCTCGACGTTAGTCGAGATGTCGGCCTACATGTATGGAACGAAATCCATTACTGATGCCACTAATATTCCCCTACAGTGACCTAACATTATTAGGTAATACCAGCCATCTCAAAGCAATAAAAAAGTGTCCTAAAAGGTCCACATTTAGCAGTGAAAATGTTGCTGGTTTTCACTTGGAAAACACTTGAACATTTCTGACCAGTGTCACAAGGTTTCTTCCTCCATGGTCCATTTGTGCAAAGGGTGTATATTCTATTCATTTATTTATCTGATCCTCCAACAGCGCTTTTAGTGCCAATTACAGGGTAACGATGAGTGAAGAAGGCAATGAAGAGATGTTCAGTTTTAGAGGTGGGAAGAAAAGCCTGGACAAGTGTACATCATCATACATTATGGAATTCTTTCTGAAATGTACATGTAGGTCTATCCGCCTTGAGCAGAAGCACCCCCTCATTGGTCGAAAAGAGCCATGTCATGCCTGTTGGAGGGGAGAGTTCATTTCCTGGTAGCGACGCAACTGCGATGCGTGTACTTCATAGTCTCCTTAGGTGCAGTTCCCACCATAGGAGCCTCCGTTGCTAGGAAAATTGTGCCCTCTCGTGGTCCCACCCAGGTCTTATACATGGACATAACCCTAACTGAAGAGACCGAAAGTGCCGTCCAATCTGGGCTAGGTGAGAGGCCCAGGCTGAGAATAAGAACATGATTGATGGAGAAAAGATATTTGCCACATTTAGGAGGCTTACCCCAAGAACTGTGGGTACTATGCCTACAGGATGTTCTAAAGTCACTTATCTGTGTGACTTGCGGCCATGTTTGTTTATACGGGGTCGCAATGCAATCTGGTTTTTTGACCCGGCCTTTGCGGTACATGTACCATGACTGGTGATGCAAATTCAACTTTTTCAATCAAATTTTCACATGAGAGCAACCTTAAGGTACCTTGAAAACTGGTTTTTAGACTTTAAGACCAATCATATTTTGAAAAATTGGAGGATTGATTTATGTATCTCCTGTTTTCTTCCCCGACAGTCCCATTGTACTGAATAATCTGTGTGCATCACACCCTCAGTACACATACCCGGGCCAATGGCCAATTTAGCAAGGTCAGTTTGTCCATATATCGAGGAGGGGGTGGAATGAGCTGGCCTCTGAGCTGTGTGACTGGAGTGATACCATCAGGCCAAGTGCTGTGCTACCTGTGACTGGTTAAACACTGCCACCTCCAAAAATAGTCGAAATGACATGCGGTACTAGCTCGGCTATACTGGCCCTTGGTTGTCGCTGCATGCGCACCCTGTGTCGATGCACACAAAATGTACGGTACGGTGCGATCGTTGGGAAGAAAATGGAAGAATGACGAGGAGAACCTCTGTGATTTTTGGTGTAAAAATCTCCTTTTGCCTGGGTACCTCAAGCTTAATGGTTGCTCTCGTTCTCAAGGTCCGACGTCTGCCCTGCTCATGGACATCACTCCGACCCATCACAGACACGACAGACTTAATGACTTCTGGCAGTCTGCTCTAACATGTCCCACTACAGAACAAACTTCAACTCATTAAACTGTAAACTACTAAGTCAATCATGGAAACTTTTGAAATTCCATGAACAGAACGTATTTGCATGATTCTGTGCAAATCCTTTTGTATTTGGACAATTATAGCCTGCCTTTCCAAACAGACCAAGGAGCATTCTAAACCTTGTCATGTCTAGCTGTTTTCCCATTTTGAGCATGCCGCGGCACCGCAGACACATAAACGCATAGACCACCTGCACGGCCAGTCTTGCGTGGTAAAAGAAAGTTAAAAATCAGGGGAGGGGGGGCTTGGGCCAAGTCCTGGAAGCCTAGTTCTCATTGTTTGAGTCCTAGTCCAGAAGGTCTAAGTTCAAGTCTGAATCCACTGATTTCCACAGCAACTGACAACAAAAAGTACAGGAAGCAAGTTCAATTTGTGTCAGGCTAAATAGGCTAACATACAGTGTGTTTGTATGTTTGTAAATAAAGTGTATACGTATGCAATGTTAGATTTCTGGAAATACTTATATGCCAACGTTCGTCATTCTAGCAAGAAAGACTGAGATTTTGCCTTCTTATCTATGGTAATTAATGATGCATCCAAGAGCCTGGCCTGCCCAAATTACAAGGCCAGGCATCACGTGCACATGTCAGTAAATTAACATGCACAGTACATGCACTTTTAGAATTCTGAAAATACGTGAAGGGCCTACTTTAATACAGATGTGCTAAAGTGTGTCGAAACTAGCTTGGAAGATTTTTATTCCTGCTGCAGCCAAGAGCCTGCCTTCAATCTTGAGTTGACGAGACCATGGAGAAATAAAATGACGAGACTGAGTTGACTTGGGACCAAGTTGACCTGAGATGGAGTTGAGTTGGAGCGAGTTGATTCCAGACCAAGTTGGCGACTTCACATGGACATGACTGATGAGTATACAGTGTGTGTACATTGCCATGTTTCGCTGGACCACATCCAAATCTTTAAAAGGCAATTCCTAAGAGTCCAAGTTGCTCAGACTACTATTGACTGATCTACACCATCGTGATGTAGTCACGTCAATTATCATTTCAAAAATTCAAATACGCACAGCATGCCAGAGTGAAGCTGTGGGCTTGTTGGGCTTATATCAATCATGGGCCTTACATGGGATATGGTACAGCTGCACGTACAGGGGAGCATGTCAGACCCAACGACTTGAAGGATAAACAGTTTGCAAGATGTGTGCAAAATCTTAGTAGGCACATAAAAAAGTAATCCTACTAAAAGTTACTCATGTCATTTTCCCAGAAATGGGCCATGCATATGTAGCCAGTGAATGTAGGCACGTCCAGTGCTCATTTTATTCCTGTAAAGTGTGGAATAATAAAAGCAAAATTCATTGTACTTACTCCATCAATGTCATGACGTAGGTGTGCCAGCGATTACTCTAAGACTAATTTCTTGATGATACACGAAGTCGCGAAATAAACAGATTAAAGCGACCAGCGTCCGCTCACGAGTCATGCACGTGTGCCGCCGCAACCACGTGTTTGTAGTGTGTCTGTGCTCTGTAAATGGGATATGGGTTTTCGATGCAGCATGAGTTTTGTGTAGTGACGTCACGCCCGTTACACGCAGGCGCTCTCAGCTTGTTTCGAAACGCCGCGCCGCGGCTCACGCGCGAAGGATCGCGCTTAATTCTAGAATTTATCATTCGATTCGCATCGATGAATAAAGTCGTTCCTGTGCTTGTTTTTCCACTCTAGAACCCAAGCACTGTATGGAATCATCGTGTTTAAACTGTGTCTACCATTATAGATCCCCAAACTGAAAGGTCTCGAAATGACCGTGAGGACGTCTGTGATTCTGTCGTTACTCTTGACAACTCTCCTCGTTAATACCGTCAGTGCAGATGAACAGACTGCGGCACCAACGGAACGGAACGGTTCTCCCTCTAAGAACGAGGGGGAGAACTCCCCAGCCCAGCCTGGCCAGTCTACCCCCAAAATGACTGAAGGATCCGGCTCGCGCTCAGGCGAGGAACCGATTCGCGATGACGGCTCAGCCGAGCAAAGCCGACCTCGCCGACAGACGGCAGGAGGGCATCCCCACTTCCCGCCCGGTTACACCGCGGGGCATGAAAGTTTAATGCAGAAATATCACCAGCACATCGCCGATAGCCACCGGTGGCACTCAACCGACGCCAACCGGGGCAAGGGACGATCGCTGCAGGCCGGGGAGCGCCAGAAACAAGTCTTCCCGTACGCGGAAAGACGGCAGATCGCGCAGCCGAGGAAATATCGCTTCGACGAGAACAAAGTGGGGCATCGGGTGACAAAGACCCGGGTTCACTTCACCCCTCTCGGCGTCGCCGCGCCGGTGGGCCCCATTCGGGAGGAAAAACGCCTGCAACGAACGTACAGCAAATACTTCACTAAGGACGACGGTAGGTGTTGCACCAGGGAGGGAAATTCTTCCTTCCCCTTTTGTCTTTGTGTTTGTCATTCGCGTTCTCCCACAAGGCGATGACCGATGATCCTCCCTCAGAGGACATTATGAGGAAAGAATAAGTGTTCTTCATGTATTGACATTTCCCATTATTTCAAGGTAATCATAAACATGTGAAGATGTATGTATCCCAAAATACAGTTGAACTATAGACCTGATTACGAAGAAACAGGTCTGTCTTTCAAATCGACCCATTTTATGATGTTCTTGACCTTATCATTATGGCAGTTATTGTGAGAAATACTAGATGAGATGGGCCTCTCTTGAAAAATCGTGTTATTATTATTTATTTATTTCTGGTAATGACACCAAGGATTCCTCAAAAGCGCCCTAGGCACTGTAGCTCGCAAGCCTGAAGAAACCTGTAGAGAGGAGACAACGAGAAGCAGTTACAGTTTTAGAGGTGGGAGGAAAACCCCAGAGGAATATTCTGGGTAAAACCCACGGAATCAGGTAGGGACTGAAAACCCAATCCACATGTGGACCGGGCCAGGATTCGAACCCTGACCGCAGAGGTGAGAGGCGAGGAAAGAACCACTACGCCAACCCGACTCCCCCCCCCCACAGCCGGCCGTATCGCGTGCAGTTGCAAGTATTCCCAACGCTTTATTTATTTTTCCTACAGAGCAAAACAAATTCTTGCCACCCAAGCATCTCCTTCGCAACTGTTGGATGCAGGCAATGGTTGCGCGGTCGTTCTCACCGAGTTGCAAAGAGGACGGCACCTACAGCGCCAAGCAGTGTCACAAGAAACGGCAAGGATCAAATTCTGTTGTTTTGTTTGATTAGGTCGGATTGGGTTGAGTTGGGTTCGGTTTTCTTGTTTTTTGGGGGGGTTCTCGCTGATTAAATATTGTTTGGTCATATTGAGTTGGGTTCGGTTTTCTTGTTTTTTGGGGGGGTTCTCGCTGATTAAATATTGTTTGGTCATATTGAGTTGGGTTCGGTTTTCTTGTTTTTTTGGGGGGGGGGTTCTCGCTGATTAAATGTTTACAGTTGAACACATTGAAAAACACTAATAAGGCAAGGTCACGTCTGTAACAAGGACAGTTTTAGGTTAGAAGTCTTTGTTTTCTTTGTTTGTCTATTTGATACAAGGTACCTGTTAACAAGGAAATTTGTAAAGTCAGAAGGACCCTGTTATAACAGCGGTTTTTTCACTGTGTAAAACTTTCGGTCGATGTATTTTATTGTACTTATCGGATAACTTCACAGAGCTGTCATTCTCAACACATATTGCTGAGGCAAGATATGGCAAACTCGGGTTACCAACCAAAATGACTGGATCTCGGCTAATTTTGCGTGGCACATACATTTGTTTAGCAGTAGGCCTATGTTCTGCTTAGTGGCTTTACGAACTTGAATCCTGGCCTTAGCAGGAGCAAATGCACAATCTTGAAGAAACCGTTTCTGAAAATGTTGCAATGCATCATGGGATTGGGGGAGCAGTACATTTTACGCCCCAAACTGGGTTGGGTGGTGATGTGCTGTGTTGGGATGGGTTGGGATGGGTGACTACGTAATAGACGCTCGCTTCCGACGCAGTGGAATGGCTGATACCTAGACAAAGGTTGGGTTGGGATGGGATAGACCAGAGTAGAATGGGTTTGGCTGGGATGGGTTGGGGTGAGATTGGGTGGGCTGCAATGAGATGGGATTGGTGGATTGGGATGGGTTGAGTAATCCGGGTCAAGTTGGGTTGAGTTTAACACTCGATGTAGCCCAGCTGAGGGAGATGCAACAGGATGTGTACGAGTGTCTCGATCGGCCACGACCGGCGGTAAGACTGGCGGAAGCAGGCGCCAGCCGGCAGTCAACAGCCAACAGCCGGCCTTAGCAACGATATCTGGCAGTGGCCTCTTATACTCAGGGGAAAAAAACACTGAACGTTGTCTTGTTAAAACCTCTCCTTTGTCGATGCAGATGTTGGTGTAGCAACAAACACGGCAAGATGGTCAACCCCTCTGGCAAGGACCGCGACCACGGCGTCTACTTCGGCATCAAGGCACTGACCCTCCGCTGCTCAACGTAAAGGAACCGTTCTACAGCGCCGGCAAGCACCACATTGTGGACAGCGCAGTGATGGGCTTTTTCTTATTGCTTATGACTGACTTAAAAGCGCGACACCTTGCCTGGTACTCTTTACTCACAGCTGTTTTTAATGTCAGGGTGTGACCGATTGTTCTCAACAACGCTTCCCTCTGAACCCTTCCCAGATCGATCCTGCCGATATATGACCTATTTGGGAAGGATTTCCCCACCATACCCCCGTGGATAGCGACAGGACGATTGTGCGAAATAATCAGCACACTCTATTTGATCACAACAAACTTAAAAGACGGCACAACAGCTTCCAAAAAAGGAAAAATTTATTTAGGAGCGAAATTTGGCACCAGTGGTGAATTAGCGATTGGTGAGCACGTTGGTCATGTAGGCCTACATTCTTCAAAATAGGGCATGGAGCACTGAGCTGCTGCGGCCCAGTTTGCATGGAACCACATCTTAAAAGGAACCAAACTGGGTTGTGCAATCCATACATCTTAAACACGGGTGGGTGGTCATTTTCTCAGATTTTTGATCCCTCATCCTTTTTTCCCCCCGAGGACAAAAAAAAATTCCCTGATTTGTTTCAGACGGTCCATGTGGGTGAAGTGGAACTTTGTTCATGTCCTTACCTCTCACTACCATGCCCCTTTTTCCCCCCACAGGAATACCAGTAAGGTTCTTGTCCAAAGCCCAAAAATAAGGAGAAGCCAAAATATACCTAGTAGTAGCCTAAAATCAAATTATTTTACATAAATAAGCCGGATAAGGCTTTCGCTTGAAAATTGGCATCCTCGTTTCCGAGATGACAGAGGGTAAAGGGAAAGAAATACCTCTTTTTGAGCCCTAAAAATCAAATTGAGAAGTCACAGCCATCGAACAAATACCCTACAGTGTGACAAACCTTGACAAACAGAAGAGCATAAATCAAGCCAAGCTCGTCGTTTGTTTCAGGTATCAGACCTTGTTTATTTGTTCCTTGCTATAAGTCCTTTCTTTTTGCCTCTTCGGAGGACTCCCAGTAACGTCCGAGGACACCTTGCAAGTTATCCGCAAAGTTCAAATCTTTGCAAGTTTCAAAGAAACAAAAATATGCTCCTCGTCTTTAAATGGCATACTTTAACTGAAGAGAAAAAGCTAACCAACTGAAAGCAAATTGTAATTGTATTGTAATAAATTGTTCAACTTCTTGCGACCACCACATTTCCGATTTCATTTCTGTTTATTGCATTATTTATCCTTTGCAAAAGAAATTAAACTTTTGGGCAGCGTTTTAATGTTAGACTTCCTTTCAATCTGGATTTTGGCAACCAAATCTTGTTTTATCTCCATCATCAATGCCACCCCCACTTATTTAGCGTGATCATCCAAGAACTTAAACAAATAAAAGCGGGTATACATAATGGCCACTGCCCTATCAAGACAGGATGTGCCCGTACCTCAAGGGGTCTTGTCCCTAGGAAACAAATGCAAACCAAATCCGCCCCAACGCAGGTCGAAAAGACCTTGATCGGGTGACATGTCCCCTGGACTGGAAAAGCCCTAACACAGGGATGTCATATGTCGCTCTACATGAGCACAGATCAAAGTCAAGCCACTCTTTAATTTGCAAGAGACACATCCTGACCTCGAAAAGGACACACCTTCCCAGTCACTGAATTCAAATTCCACACCAACACATATTTCCCGTATCAAGAGCTGAACGATTTTCTTTTAAGTAAATGCAGCATATTCCAAATATTAAATGCCCGGCTGCAGGCAGAGTTTCTTTAAAGCCCATAAAAGGAGAAAATATGTGTGACATGAACGTGGGTACAGGTGACTACAGTGGCACACTCTCACATTTTCCATGGTGCCCCCAAAAAGTTTCCCCTGGCAAAAGACGAGTCTCTGTACAAAGTGTGTCCCTCAAAAACAGCGCCCTCGCTGACCTCTCAAACACCCGCGGCACTTGTCCAATGCTGACTTACTCCAGTCTGTCAGAATGGTTAGAACGCCCAAAACCTACCAGAGAATACATGCATCTTTTCCTCGCAGGGGCACGGTTTTTGAGTACAAATAGCCAGAGGGGTAGCCAGGGTTCCAGACAAAGGGTGACGCACTCATACCGCTCTGCAGCCAGCGTGAACAAAGCCCGGTTTGTCGTGTGGTAACTAACCCCACATTTCAAAATGCACAGACTAGTTCAAGTGAACCCACCAACTCCTTTGGACTTCTGGCCAGAATTGTTCACTTGTCCAGCATCCTCCACGCCCAGGAAACCGAGTGCATGCTCTCAATAACTTCAACGTCAAGGAGACGTCCAGCCCAACGTGTTTCAAGTATCACTGACCCACCAGTTCCACCTTCCTCACTCCAGCGAGATCCCCTAAACGCCACAGGTGAACCTCCGAGGAATCTGCGAACATTTTTTTAATTGGGGTTCAAAAACCTGGCTTGTCTAACTGGCTGCAGAGTGGTCATATCTGTCGTTGTGATCACGGGTGAGTCTTAAAGACGACCAGTGGTTGAGGCAGAAACGAGGCAGGGAACCTCATTCACAAGTGGCATGAGGAGAAACAAAGATCTTTCACCCTGACCCAAATACTTCTTAACCCTAACCTTCCCCAACCACACAGAATTAAACAGTAGTAAAGTGTTAAATTCTGTGGGGATAGGTCTGGTAGGCCCAGACAGCCGGCTTTTGCATTGGGTTTGGCATAACTCAGAAAAACAAAGTCAAACAGCCTCTGAGCAACTTTGTGTAAATGGGGAAGGTTAGGGCCAGCAACCCTTGGGTGGGGGTTAGGGCTAATGTAATAGAGAGGGGCACTGCAAATGGTTAAATCCGAGAGTGTTTACCTCTGTACCAAAATCTGACAATGAAGAAATTTAAAGTTTGAATTAAGAGGCCTCCGAAGTCTTCATCAGGATTTCTCAATGGAAGAATTAGTAAATCTGCCTTTTTTTGACTTTGAGTGCAGAAGGCTTTGACACTGGGTGCACACCAATAACCTCCATAATGCGGTGCGTTGGCAAAATGCAAGAGCCGATAAGCAAAAACTTCCAATGGTTGTCAAGATTTACCAATCCCCCAACACATTAAAGTAACATTTATTGACCACACCTTCCCCAACCCCACAAAATCCTCCAAAACCCTCTTAATGGATTCAGTAGGATCTGGGAAGGCTGGGGTTCTTTGGGAACCCATCAAAATCCAGAGAGTCTCACTTGGAGACTAGCCACACACACCCAATTTCCGTTCTACCATTTTGTTAATAATTTACTTAGCTACCACCTTATATGTCTCGATTTTAGATGAACATCCGAAGAAACAATCACTGCCTTTCTTTCCTTTTAAATATATTCTCTACTAGCCTTTTCGTAAATCTTTATAAAGAATTCATTTTCATACATATATTTTATTTTCCAAAAACATAAATTTGTGACCACGTCAACCCGCACTTCCGAACAAATTCATCTCTGCAATGAAAGGACAGGAAAGAACAATTCTCTTCTTCCTACAACTTCCTACAAGTTCTTTTGTTCTGTTCTTACTGGCAATTTCACAAATTCATTGAAAATGTGGACTCGACAGTTTCTAGAAATTGGGCGGGCAAAAAGAAAAAGCAGTTTGGTGTGATTTCTGTGGGCCTTAAGAAGAAGATATTACAAGTAATTCAAAACAGAATTTTATTTCATACATTTCCGCAACGCCGGTGAAAAATTTCAAGTACACCCGAAGCAATGCGTAAACATTTCTGATATAAATTTGATAAGGACACTGAAAAAACTCGGGATTTTAATTTGAAGTATTTTGTCTCAAGATGTACATGTATCGGACAAGTTAGGCGGTAAGAAATATTTTCAACATTCCGAGTTCTCTGCAACATATCTAAATTGATGGAAACACAAAACAATTACCAAAGAAGGTGCATTATATTTGTCACATGCAAAAAACTCATGCAGTTTCTCTTAATTTTTTCTTTTTTAATTGCAAGGTTACATTTTAATACACGTGAGTGTGTGTGACTAGTCTTGATCTCATAAATTAATTGCTTAAATAAATTGTTCACTCTTTCGATGATTTCGACTCCCTGGATTCGACGGTGCACAGAGCAGTCGCGGGCCGGGTGAAGTTGCACAATGCTCAGTGGTAGGAGATACTTTAGATATATCATTTCCATGGTTACGTTGCAGCATGCGGGGAACGGACGTACCTGGATTTAAACTGCAGGATCTGTGGAGGGTGAAAACAACACAAAACAACGGAGAAGGAAGTTGTTAGATTGCGGCGGTTCTCGGCTGTCTTGAGGCCTGCAAGAGACCTACGAGAGTGAAAAGTGTTGCCGTGAAAGTCGGGAACTTCAATCTGCTCTGTGTAGGTGGGGGGGGGTGGTTAAAAAAAAAGGCCCCAGACTGATTTTTGAGCGAGAGGACACTTTTGCTTAGAATGAATGTCTGCATGGGAGACATGGGCTACATGGCCAGCACTTTTTTCACCGGTTAGTCAAGTCCATTTGGCCTGCGTGCATTTTCGTCCAGGACTTTCAGGACTCAAATGTGGCAATGTCCACGACATTGGACACCATTTTGCAGAGAAGGGTCGTCAGCTGTTCTGAACAGGAAGACTGCCCTAGCCACTACTTCAAACTGACAAGGATGGCCTGTCAATTTATCATTAAACACATCAAACACAGCCGATCAAAAATGAAACTTGAGGGATTTCCATTTCCACGGCTTATCCACGATGTTCGTTCCTCTAACAACAGGATTCCAGGACACCCTCCCCCAACCTTCCACGCCTTTCTAGGGCAACCTTTTTGTCAGGATTTTCTACGACCTTGGGAACCCTGATAAAATGCAAGGCAATGAGGTTACACCCTAGTGACAAGTCATTTACATCCATCAACTCTGCAACAAAGGAAGGGCATTTCAAACTGAGTTAAAAATAGTTTACGGCAGCGTTGTATACGAGTCCATCACAATTCCCCGCAAAGTTTCTGCAAATCCATCACAAGTCCATCACTAGTCATTCTGTTTTTGCCAATACACAAGCTATTCAAATGAGCAGTGACAAAAGCATTCTTTTGTCACTGTTCACCCTGGTACTCATGACCTGCCCTGAGTGGGGACTCGTGACTGGACTTGTGAAGGGACTTGTGGAAGGACTTGTGATACAATACCGCTTTGCAAAATACGACCCGGCAAACAAAGCTTAAATGACGAAATTGCTGACTTGACTACTTACTCTCTGTTAATGTGTGACTGTGTGTGTCAGTGGAATTTGTGGGAGGTCTGAGGCCGGGGGGAGGGGCGTGTGTTGTCCAGGCTGGACCTGAAGCAATCAAGAATCAAAACGAGTCAAGAAATTGGGCACAGGATCAGGGCACAGTGTCTCGCAGTGTAGTAACTTCAGCTGTATGCATCCTCTTTGCTGTGGAAGAGCTTGACTCAATAACTCATAATCAAGTTACAAGTTACACAAGATGTGACTCAGTATAATTCAACAGGTTTACAGTGACTGACGAGTATGAGTGAACGAGTCAAGCCCTCTTCACTGTGGAAGGGCTTGACTTAATCACCCATAATCAAGTTACAAGTTACACAAGATGTGACTCGGTACAATTCGGCAGGTTAAAGTGACTAACACTTGTCTTGCACTGGCCTTTATAATATTGCTTGATAGGTTACCAACTTCCATCTTTGAACTCATCAACATTGCGAATTTAGTATATGCTTGCACCACTTGCATGTGTACAAGAAATACAAAGAGGGTGATCGATCAATTCTGGTGCACAGGACCGCCACCATCAAATTTGACTCTGGGGACGTTTATGGAACGAGTGGATTCGGCTTAGACTTGGATCTCGCCAATTCCAACCATTTTGAAGGACCATTCGAAACCACATGTTCAAGCTCTGACTGGAACCCGGGGAAACCGAGGTCTAAGCCGAACCCACTAGATTTGAAACTGCCCTAGGCTTCATCGAACCAGTTTCTCCAGTGTTGAAAAACGCCATCTGTATACAACGCAGTCTGGTCATGTTCACTGGCAAAACTCCAGCATATGATTATCCCACACCAGATGCAGCTTAGTCCGAGTACATTTTTCGGTGTATCGCAGCTGAAGGGTAAATCACATGCAGTCGCGCTGTGACATCCAACAACGGTGCCGGTCGTGTCACGATTTGCCAAAGCGGCGGTGCACGGTGGTCGCCGTACAAGTGCAGGAACAAAACCATGTGTGGTTTGAAAGAACAAAAGCCAACCAATGCAGGGTGAGGAGACCTACCTCTGTTTGCATATGCATGAGCTGGGAACAGGTGATTGGCTGAGGGATGGGAGGGTGTGTCCCCATCTGTCAGTGTCTGTAATGATTTTAACCAGTGTGGTTGTTCTTCTGTGGGGACTGCAAATTAACAAAACCAAGACAGCCAAACAGTCAATAAAAGGAAAGAAAGCCAAGCATGCTCTAACAAGTACAAAATAATTCCAGATAAAAATCTACAGAGCAACTAACTTCAATTAGCGAGTATCTTGGGATGTCACAACATCTACAGATGTACACAAACCTACACGAAGTACGGCACAGTGGATGACGATAACAATGGTTAGCAAGCACATGGCACAAAGGTCCCCGGAAGCCGTGTCTCAACAACCTGGCTGCGGATTGCAATTGCAGATGACTATGTAGGGAGTAGCCACAGCCACTAATTGTCAACTCATGTGCCCAGTAATTCAGATAAGGACTGGTTTTCATCTGAATGCGCACAAGTCCGTAGAAGGCTGACATTGATGCCAGGCACACCACTGGCATTCAAGTGTATTTCTCTGTTCCACCGTGAAAAGGTGGTGGTGGGGGGGTGCTACTTGGGCATGGTTTATGTGCAGTCAACTGACCTTCTTTTTCTGTGAAGCCGGGTGCGTGTGTGCTGTGGGAGTTGACGCTGATTATTGCGGGGTCGTGAACCATCCAGGTCTGGGACTGCATTCCGGGCCAAATGTCTGCGACGGAACGTGGAAAACATTACC